TAGGGCTTTTAGGGTGTAGCGTTTAGGGAGGGTGCTTGATGCCCTTGCCTACGTGAACCCTCAACCCTTTTTCCCGAAGCAGCAGCTTCAAAGGTTTCCCTGCCCGAGTCGCTGTCTTTGGCCGCATCGGTCAACGACCCCAAAGAGAAAGCGCCCTGGGAGATTCATGGGCTGTTCTTAGCACCCAGAGACTCCAAAACCCCGTAAGCAAGGAGTAGATATCATATCATAGCCTAATGGTAATGCATGCTCCTTCTTAGTACCCGCAGACTCCCAAACCCCTTAATTACGGACAATGCCTCAAATCATAGTAGGAAGCCTCTTATGATGTATAAGGCATATACTCCATAATTTTGGTGTTTTCGGAGTCTCTGGGAAGTATAGTAACCCTTAAACCTTACCTTTATAATTTTCTTGGGTATACCATCTCAAAGGTTAACCTCTAGTTCCGGCAGGAAGGTGGATAGAAAGGGTCGCTGTGGCTTTTCACCGGGGGGTTGTGGGAGAGGCTAAGGGTCCAAAGTGCTGAATTGCCAGTATCCAGGTAATATAGGGGCCTAAATAATTACCTAGACTATTTCAAAATTTCGGGGGGTTCCTTATTATAATTGTGGTAGAACAGACCCCCAAACCCTATTCCAATTATTGAGGCCCCTACATTAGGCATTTCTCGAGGCCTTTGTTGTTATCAACACCCTCCGCCAGCATCTTGGTTACGACCAGCATGCGCAGCAATCTGGCCAGAACATTGCTCGACGAGCTATTGCTTTGGCCGATGTCGTCTCCCCCTCCTCGCCAGTGGTTACTGAGAGCGTACCAGGTCCGGAGGTATTTTGCCTTGATGCACGGCAGAGCTTGTTACCATGCAGCGCTGCAGATGTCCATCATCTCCTGGCACCATTTGCTTTCTCATCTCTGCAAGGTCCTCCAGGTGATGTCCCTAAGGCAGATCGTTTTGCTCACTGGGTTGAGGATGGTCAGGTTGGGCGCTCCCCCGCCCCCGATGAGATCCTAGTCGTGACCTCTGATGGGTCGTACTGTGCTCGCACGGGCCAGGCCGGATGGGGTGTCACGTTCAGCCTTGTCTGCGGCACTGATCTCCTCTTCCCAGGTACCCTTGTGGGTTGAATTTTCGGTGACTTGGGTCCTCTTTTGGCTGCTTCCTCGCCACAACAAGAAGCAAATGACCTGGCGGATGCATACCTTGCCGAGGTTGGAGGCCTGATTTGGGCTGCGATTGCGGCTCTCAAGTTGCCCTTCTCGGGGCAAGTTCTTTTCCGCGCTGACAATATTTCTG